ATGAAAAGGATGAACACGTCTGATGTGGGGGGAAAAGCTGATGCTGGGCTACAAACGAAGTGTTCTTTTGCCGCAAAAACACACGTGGTGAAAACTCGCCGCAGGGGCTGGAAGCCGTGCGCAAATCTCTGAGTTCGGGTCGTGTTCAGTGGCGGCACGCCAGCCTCTAACAAACTCCCTTTTTCTGGTTAAAAAGCAGGTGCCTGGAAATGAAAGCGTTTCCCAAGGGCACGGATAGGATGTGGTCCAAGTCAGGGCCTCCCGCTACTAGTCAAAGGCTTCTTAGGTGCTCATCCCCCACCCCCCGCCCCCCACCGCTGTGACCTGCTTCTGCCCAGTGACGCGCTGAGCGCCCGCTGAGAGCGGCAGGAGGCCGGACGCAGCCGTCATTTTTAGCCGATTCCAGAACAAACGGTGGCCGCTCCCTGGGCCCTGCGGGCAGGCCTGCCTCTCGGCTCCTGCAAAGCCACGTTCATTCCCATCGCCCTCTGTGCCTGTGAGCGCCGAGCAAGAACTGGGCTTTCTAGATTCCTCCAGCTGTGATGAGGCCCGCGAACAAACCCCCGGGGTGGCACCCAGCTGCGGCTGGCCTGAGGGTTTTGTGTTTCCCCTTGAAGCGGAGGGACGACGGGAGGGGCCGGCTCAGCAGCGGCTGCGACGCCTAATTCGCTCGCCGGCTCTCCGATCGCCCCTGCCTTTTTCTGAAGGACGGGAGCGTCTCGGGGATCCCTCAGCGCCGGCCCTTCCCAAGGCAGCTGGTAGGAACTTCAAGAAAGGTGACGGGAGAATTTGAGCTCAAGGAACTTTATTTCACTGCTGATCGCCTGGTTTCCCAAAAAGCCCCGATCAACATTTGCTTGCTGCGTTCCCATAACGGTCATATCGGACCCCGAGATTCCTCTTTCCTTCCTCCCGTTTCCCAGAGGCGCCCGCCTCCTGGTTCCGGGCTTCCGGTTTCCCGTCTGAGTCTCCTTTTTTCACATTCTCTGCACTTTTCTCTCTTTTGAGCGAACACGGGTTCCGACATTAATGTGGTCACACGGGGCCAGAGTGTGACAGTGAGCTCTTCCCATGCTAAGTGTTGACGAAATCCTTATGAACTCAGAGAGAGACACATTTTCTCCTAAAAACTTGAAAGAGCTTCCTTTTCACGTTTACGTCCTTAAGCCCAGTGGAGGGTCTTGGCGAATGAGGCGGGGAGGGGGCCCAATGCCAACTTCCCCCCCACCCTTCATGCATTTGTAAGTTCCTGCACGATTCTCTGAACAGCCCCATTGGTCTGAAATGTCACCTGTCATCCACCGCAGTTCTGTAAATTGATAGTCCCACTGTTAATCTGTCTGTCCTTACTTCAGAATCTTGCAATCTTAACTACCATTGTAGGCTTTAAAATACACTGCAGATCTCCAGGGGGGGGGCAAGTCCCACCCCACCTCCCATCACACTCTTCTCCTGGGGGCGTGTGCTGGCTTTTCTATGCCTTAATTCTTCCCAGAATAGCTGGTGAAGTCCCACAGAAACTCGGATTTTTACAAGATTTTATTTATTTTTAGAGAGAGGGGGAGGGAGGAGAAAGAGAGGGAGAGAAATGTTGATTCGTTGCCTCTTGTACACTCCCCGAACCTGCAACCTAGGAATGTGCCCTGACTGGGAACGGAACCGGCGACCTCTCTCTTTGCAGGGTGACTCCCAGCCGAGCCACCTCGGTCGTCAGGGCAACACCCTCGGGTTTTATCGGAAATTGCCTTCAATCTACAGATCAGCCCAGGGAGAACTGAAACCTCTAATAAATCTTTACAATGTTACAGGAATCCCTATTTCTTTAGGTCTTCATTGTTTTTCACTGTTTTATAACGTTCTGCATATAGATCTTGTAAGTTTTTTTGTAAGTTTTATTCCTAGGTACCTTTTGCTACTGTAGATGCTGGGTTATTTTTCTTTTACAACTTGTTTTCTAAACCATGAACTGTCAACGCATGGAAATGCATTTTATTTTAGATTGATCAGACTCTCTGGGTTTTTCTTTAGCTTTTGCGTAGACAACCACCTCTGCGCATGGTGACCGTGTCAGCGACCCCTCCCCGCATCTTGGCTTTCACTGTGCGCCCCCTCCTGCTGCCCTTGCTGCAGCGCCAGCCGGCGCGACGCTGAGCAAGAACAGTCGCGGCATGTGGGGTCTCGTTCCTGATCGTGAAGCCAGTGCCTTCCCCGTTCCCCCGTGGAGACTACTGCTGGCTGTAGAATTTTCCAGATGCTTTCATCAGGCCCAGGAAGCACTGATTCTGTTTCTGCCGTGCTTGGAACTTGTGTCACGGACGGTGCTCAGTTTTGCCAGGTGCTTCTTTCTCTGCCCGTCCCAGTGGTAACGCGCTGTCCCCCCGCGAGTCTGTTGTGACACGTGACACTCGTCGATTTTCTAAGGCTAAACCACCCTCGCTCTCCTCGGTCAGCCCAGTGTGGACGCCCCGTTTGCGTACTTGTGTACACTGGAACGATACATTCCCCGGAAGCTGAGTAGAACCCACCCGCTGGGCCACCCGTCCTGGGGACGTTTAATGCTCCCATTTCTGTCACAGAGGGTGTGGCTGTTTCTTCTCCAGGCACCTCTGGGAAGGTACACCCCTCGGACAGTGTTTCCAGTTCATCTGAGTTCTCAGATTCGTTGGTAGGAACATCCACAGTGTTATTTCACTTCCTCCCCACCCTCCGCTGGTCTGGCCCGGGCCCCCTTTAATTCCCAGCACGGTCTGCGCCTGCTTTCTTGCTTGCTTAGCTCACTGCGCTGCAGTTCCTATTTCACGGGTTTTCGAAGAGCCCGTGGGCTTTGCCGGCTGCCACGTTTGTTCTGTTTCTCTGGTGCCTCCTCCCCATCCCACTGCTTCCCCATTTTTGCAGAGACGTTTCCAGAGGGGGGGAGATGGAGACGCTGACCCTCCCCGCCCCCCCCTCCCGGCATTCGCCCCAACCGGGGACGGAACCCTGCCCTCCCACCCGTTTTTCACGGTGTAGTGTCCTTGTTCTGACTAAAGATTTACTATAGTCGGCCATGTTTATTCGTTTCCAGTGTTTTTTCTCACTTTCTAAAGTGTTTGTCTGCTGCTCAATCTTGGGCCCTTCTTTTTGTCCGCTGTAACTACTCACAGCTGTCCTGTCCCTCCCCGAAACCCTGGTGGGCCACGTAGACGCCCCCCTTCAGTGGCTCTGCAGAACTTTCACTATCATTCAGTTACAGGTCGGTTTTTGAATCCACTGTGACTTCCACATACATGAGGTCTTTGAAATTATTTTTGAATAGAGAAAAAACATGACTTGTCCACACCCTGCAATTCACTGAGATTACCATTTAATAAGACATCCCACATGTGTCTGAAGGAACACAGCGAACCCCTTGCCGGTTCGAGCGTGTCGGCGGGACTCCCCTGTGTCCTGCGCCCTCCCCGCGCCGAGGACGCCGGGCTCCCTGGCGACGCCCTCGCATTGGAGCTCCCGCCTCCACGGCAGACCCGCCCGCGTCTCCCGGGGCCCCACTGCTCCTTACTCCACACCGTCTGACACTGTTACAAGGTGTGCAGAAGAGAAAAATCACTGGCTTACCCGGGAACCATGCAAAAGTCTAGCCAAATTCTCCCCGACCGCTCCCAGATTACCGTGGCCGGCCCACACCAGCCTCAGACGCACCACGCAGCCCGTGCAGCTCTGGGAACGGCAGGCGGGCCTCGGGCACGGGAGTCAGTTCGGACGGCGCCCTCGCGGGCCCTGGAGCCTCGGCTGGGCATTCTGACCTCAGGTTTCCTCCCTCCCACCTCCCCACCAGCCCGGTTACCCTCGTGCGGACTCGGAAGCTTGGATATGAGAGTTTCACAAAATCTGCTAACAAGAATGCAATATATAAACTTTCTCATTCAAAGAGCAGACGTCAGAAATACAGGAGGGGGAGGCAGAAGAGCATGTGGTATCTGAGCGAGCACAGTCTCCGGAGTCGGGCCGGGCTCACAGCCCCACGAGGATGCTCTGTGGCCCGACTCCCCGAGTCGTGTGTGTGTGTGCGCGCGTGTAACGGAGGGGTGACGGGGACTTCACAGGATGACACATCCGTGCACAACTAGGGACCTGGGGCCAGTAGCAGGGAAGGTGGTGGGCAGAGGGGCCCACGTCCCACGGCAGACCCCGCGTGACTCCCTGCAGTCAGGAGTCGGGGCCCAGCAGACCTGGACCTGAGTGCAGTCTGCCACTGCCACTGCCACTGCCACAGCCACAGCCACAGCCACTGCCACTGCCACTGCCACAGCCACTGCCACAGCCACGCGTGGTCCTTGCCGGGGTCCAAGTTAGAGGGTTCCCTTGTCCCTTTTCCTCCTTCGGGGTCACAGACCAGCCCGGGCAGAGGACACGGGCCAGTGACAGCCACGAGCACCGGGTCCCCACCTGGCCACGAGACGGGGGCGTCCCCTAAGCCCGCTCTGCTTCTCATCTTCCCAACGGCTCCTTCTGTCAAAGTCAGCACCTTTCAAAGACTTTAAGAAACAAACCTCTGTTTTTGTTAAAGGCTACATTTCTTAGATATTTGCAGTGAAAACAGCCGGCAGGTCCGGAGAGCAAGGCTCTGCACGCCGTGACGGGAGAAGAGCCATCAACACCACTTAAGACCTTTCGTAACAGACACTCGATACCTTTACTGTGAGGAAGGCGGGCAGAAACACAACATTCCCGGGGGCACACTCTGAAAAGGCCGGGTTTGTTCTCACGGGACTCCCGCCTGCGAAGGCACCTCCTGCGTGACGCGGTCGAGAAGGGGACACGCCCGCCCTGGGGGAAGCAAACCCGCCCCAGCCTCCCGCAGCCCCGGCCACGTCTCGTGCGGGAAGCCGATCTCCTCGCGGGGGGAGCCGTGTTCAGAGCGGCGGCACCGGCCACCCGCCCGACCCGCTGGCCAGCAGACCGCGGTCGGGGGGGGGGGGGCGGCCGGGCCTGCCCTTCTCCCAGAGACCGAGCAAGTGCCGTCACTGGGACGGGGGCGGGAAAGGGCCGCCCCCCTCCTTCGGGGCCTCGCAGCCGGAGGACCGGGGGTGCGCCTGGCCGGAGGGGCCGGAGATGCTCTCGAGCAGGCGCGTGATGCCTCTGCCCCGCGCATGGCCGGCTGGGCCCTCCATCTTCGCCCCCGCGGGGCTGTCACCTGGGACACGGGGAACGTGGGGAAAGAAAAGTCACCCCTTCACAGCCCCATCACCCAGCGCCCCCTCCTGGGCGTGTGTGCTGCTCCCCCACCCCGGCCCGCCCCGGGCCCCATGCCCGAGACAGGACCGTGGCGCCACGGCAGAGGCTGACGGGGCACCTCGGCGTGTTTTTGGCCCTGGAAACCACAGCTGGGGTCCTTCGGGCACCGCCGGGTTTCACGTGCCCAGCTCTCAAGCGCCCACCTGCCCAGGCACCGCCGGACCAGAGCTACGGAACCGGCCGCACAGGAGTGACGGCCTCCTGCTCACGGCCCCGATCACGTCTGCAGAGCGAGTCCAGCCGTATCCGAGTGGCACAAAAACGTGCCCGCTGTTGCAGGCACTGATGGCAAGTGGACCTCCCAATCCAGCCAGACCCCCGCTCCCGAGGCTGATGCTGAGCCTCCCCTCGGGCACCAGCGGCGCCCGGGGCCTCGCTGGGGGGGGAGCCCGGACCCCCGGACACACATCTGCACAGGACGGGCCGCTCACCGGTGGCCGAGTGTATTATCAGCTCCTGATAAGAAGGGTTGAAATGAGAGAATCCTGGACTTTCCCACCTTAGCTTCTACAAAAACAGGAAAAAAAACACCAGGGGGAGAAATGCTTAGTTCTCATCACTGGACCATGGACTCCAACTTCAGACCGCTCTGTCTCAGCACCTGACCAGCTTGTGACGAGCGGGACTAGGGAGGCGACCCTGGCCTGGACGGAGCCGGGCCCCGAGGGACACCCGGGAGCCCCGCCTGCGCTCCCGACTGGCAGGGGGTGGGGCAGGGGTGCTCCCGGCACAGCGGCCAGCTGGCGGGGCGGGGCGGGGCAGGGAGGCGGCAGAAAGACGAGAGCACTTTCCATCACTCCCTGAATCCAGCGACACACACCTCTGTACACATTTTAAAGCTGTATTGTCTACGTTTACATATTTAATTCTTGGACTAAACATTGGGACATGTTTTGTACAAACACACCACCAACTTTCATTTTCTTAGCACTTGGGGTAGGAAACTACGGCAGGAAGGAAAAGGGCTTCGTGCGGGACCCACCCCGGGGGGACCCGCCGGGCGCTCCTCGCGCTCCGGAAACCCGTGCACGGGAGGGAGGAGGGCCAGCCGGAGGCCCGAGCGGCCCCGCCGCTGCCGTGGGCCCCCCTCACCTGGTAGCGCCCGGCGTCGAGGATGACCATCTTGGGCGTCACCCTGCTGGGGGCCTCGTAGTCCTGCAGCGGCACGTGGGCCTCGGTGAGCCGGAAGCCGAAAAGCGTGGCCAGCGAGTTGCTGATGCTGTACCTGCGGCGGGCAGGCGGGGTCCGGTGGGGACGGGCAGTCACGGGCTCGGCCCCTGCCGGCTCCCAGCGTCCAAGGCTGGGGGAGACACCGGCCACACCGGGAAACCAGGCCTGCCGAGGTTCTGGGGAGCGCGGAGACGCCAGCGGTGCGGGGGGCTGGCCGCCGCTGGGAGGGTGCAGTCAGCACCACCACACACACACACTGTTACCCGACACTCTGACCACCAGACAGAGCGTCGGCCTCGTCAGAAGGGAACGCAAGTGAGGGCAGAGGTGACAGGACTCTCCAGGGTCCAGGGCGGGGGGGGGAGGTGGTCGCAAGGCCACAGTTCAGGACACAGGTGTGCCCTCAGGTCCCACGATGGCAGCGAGAGGGACCCCCGAGCACCCGGAGAGCAGGGTCCGGGCGCCTCTGCCACAGAGCGAGGGAAAGAGGCCGTGTGCTTCCAGCACCTTCCGGGGAAGGAAGGGCCGGCCTCGGGGACAGCAGCAGGTCACGCCCGTGCAGCGTGGAGGGAACCGAGCCGCTCAGGCGGCGACCCTGCCAGCCCGGAGGGACGTGGCGGGGCGACGAGGGAAAGCGGAAGGAAACCCGCCCTGTCCTGCAAGAGAACTGTGGGGACCCAGGTGAGCAGGGAGCCGCCCCGACCACCCACGCGGGCCAGGACGGGGGCGCCGCCTGCCGCGACTCACGCAGTCTTCTTGCACACGGCCAGCGCGCAGAGCAGCGTGTCGTTCTCCTCGTGCCACCTGCACCTGCGGAGGGGACAGGGCGTGACCGTCCGCCCGCGTTGGGGGCGCCACCCACGGGCCTCCGCGCGCCCGACTTCCGCTTCACCTCCTGGGGCTGTTTAAGGAAAACCGACACGATTACGTAAACACAAAATTTCTAACTGAACGCGTGAAATACAGATTTTTACGTTACCTCCTCAGGTGCGATTTCACGATGTTGTGCAAGCCCCACAAAACCAAGTCACAGTCAGCCTCACCTTGAACTAGAACGAGTGTCTGAGACACGCGCTGGGGACCGGGGTCCACAGGCCCTCCCTCCACCATCACCGGCCGCGGGTGCCCCGGTCACCGGGCATTGGGGGCACAGCGTCGGGCACCGGGCACTGTCCCGGGGTCACAGTACTGAGTGAAGCGCAAAACCTTCCGCCCACACGAAACCGTGTAGCGAACCAGGGACGCGCAGGCCTAAGAGACAGGAAGCTCCCGGCAGGTCGGTCCCAAGGCGAGAACTCGGAGAAAGGGACACCGTTGGGAAGCGCAGAGAGGCGGGCCGTCCGCTCAGGCGGCAGGAGGGGCACGGCCGAGGAGCTCGTGGGGGACAGGGCGGGGCGCACGACGCAGCCTCGGCCGTGTGTGCCTGCCACCCCCCCACCCCCCGGCTGCTCAGGCGCAGTCGGCATCAGGCAGGAGCTCCGCGCCGTGTCTCGGCAGGCCGGCCTGTCCAGCGCGGAATGCCAGCTCCCTGCTCTAGCGGAAGCCGTTGGAGAACAAAGGGAAGGATTTCCCACGGCCCCTCCAGAAGGGGATTTCACAAATACGATTCATAAAGCTCCGAAGCGAAGCCGTGGGCTGAAGCCAACCCCGCGCCCTCCCGCGCCCACACGGACCCAGGCGACCCCAGACTTCAGTCGGTGGCCCCGCTCCCCCGGTCGGAGCTGGAGCCCCTGGGCACCGCCCGCATCTACGCAGGTCCCTGCGCACCGCACCGCACATGAAACCAAAGCAGATACTTGCGGCGGGCTCCAGGACCTGAATAATGAACGACAGAACCAACCCCCACGAAAACCCGATCCCCAGGAAAACCCCTGCAAACCTGGGGGGACACAGCCGCCCTGAACCAGACAGGGCCGGAACCTGCGTGTGGCTGGGGGGCTACCCGCACGTCGGGTGCTGCTGAGGCCCGTGGGCGCCCCAGGCCCTGCACCACGCTGTGCAGGTGGATGAGCATCAGCACAGCCCACGCGTCCACTGGGAAGGGTCGGGTCCACACGGGCCACACGGCAGCGCCACCCTGTGCTGTCCACGGCCGCCCGCACCGTGCAAAAGGACCCTGTTCCCATCTGCTTGTGCTCGCGCTCCCTGGTTCTCTGTCCCCACACGGCCGCCAGCCCCACTGAGCGACAGGGGGCGCCCCTCGGCTCTGCAGCCTCCCTGCCTCCCCCGCACCTGCACCGACCCCGGGAAAGCCCGAAGGCGGCCAGGCTCGCCCAGGAGGGCCACGCCCACAGCCCGGAAGTCTGACGGAGGACCCAGGGGACCCGGCGCACCCACATCCCGGCCGCCACCAGCCCGAGTCTCTGCCCGTCTCCCCGACCCTCCCCGACCCGACACTGGGGACGGGCCGCTCTGTGCCGGGGCCTGTCCGCTCCCAGCGTCCCCCCGCGCCCCCCCCCCGACTTGCCCGGTCCCCCCCGTCGAGGGCGACACTCCGATCACAGGGCACAAGTGCCCGAGTTCACCAACAAACCCGGAGAGGCCTGTGGGGAGTTACGAGCCTTGCATCACGTTCACTCCCGGGGTAAAGAAAGCCGCAACGACAGGAGTTTCCTGACAAAACACTGAGTGTCAGCCGCCAGGGGAGGGTCACACAGGAGGCCTGCCGGCCACCGGCCCAGCGCGTCCAGCGAACGGCACCTCTCTGCACTGCCCCCGCAACTTCGGGCCCGACGCTGTTTCAACACAAAAAACACTCCTGCCGATGTGTCCCACTTCCACGTGCCCCGCCTATGAATACAAGGACTCCGGGAATGCAACACCCACGCAAGTGCATTCTTGCACCAGCAGGGACGCTCGGGGGGACGGCGCGCCGTGGCAGTCTCACCGGTGGCTCGTCTCGGTCTCTACTGGGAGACAGAGCAGCCACGTGTCCACCTGCCAGAGTCAGCGGGGTCCTCCGCTCAGGGGGACGCAGGGACTCCAGGGCCTCTCGGGAAAGTCAGGCCTGGAGGGCAGAGACCCCCCCCCCCGGGGCCGGCGGCCAGCCCCGCCCCGCCCCGCGCGGGTACCTGGTGTTGCTCGAGTAGTCCCACATGGCCACGTCCAGCATGCTGCGCACCCAGGTCTTGGACGGCTCCTTGTAGAACTTCTGCTGGTAGATGTCCACCACGAGGTCCTCGACGGTGAGGAGCTCCAGGTCCTGCCTGGTTTCTTTCGTCGGCAACACAGGGACACAGACACGGTCAGTGCTGCGCCCGCGCAGACTGTGGCCGTCCGTGGGGGATCACGGGCGGGGCCGCCCACTCACCTGAGCCCCTCCCCATGTGCCTCAGACACCAGTTGACGCGGGCCCGGTCGTCGGACTGCAGGGGGAGAGACGCACACCTGTCTGTGCCTTCTCCCGCCCCGAGGCACTGCCTGCCGCGGACCCTCGGGCTGCGGCCGGGCGGGTGGGGGCGGGTGCTGGGAAGGGCGAGACCGCGGAGGCCGTGACAACCCGATGAGGGCTGCGGTGACGGGGAGAGCAACGTGTGCCCGAGAGGACCGCAGCCGTGAACCACAGGCACGTCCATGGGCCGCGTGAGCACGCCGCCTGAGCCAGGCGGCCACTGAGGCTCAGGCAGAGGAATAAAGAAGCCGCTGTCCAGGAGGAGGAGGAGAACCTGCTCCCCGTCGCGCCAACAACAGTGACGCTGAGCCCGGTTCTCGCGCTCCCGGCCCAGGTCTGGTCGAATGCAAAGGATGACACTCTGCAGACTGGAGAGAGGGAGAGAGCCCCGCGAGGGGCGGTGGCGGGACGGCGCTGAGCGGAGGGCGGTCCTGCCGAGGGGGGCAGGGGCGGAGAGCGCCCCATTTCCAGGGGGGAGGGACCCTGAGGGTGTCCCCGGAGGGGGCACTAAAAGCCGAGGTCTCCCAGCGCAGAAACCCGCACCGACCCCCGGGGCCTTCAGGAGCTAGTCACCGTGGAAACGGCTCCCGGTGACGGCCTCACACCAGCACGCACAGCTAACACGCCGGCGCGCTCGCTCTCGGGCGCCTGTGGCGGGTCTGCTGACACCCGCATGGACACCCGGATGGAAACCCAGGCGTGCTCACCTTGCAGTAGACGGGCGGCCAGCTCCCCGGCTGCGGGTGGATGAACGTGTACAGGTTCTGCAGCACCGTCGCCTGGTCACACCCGTGCTCGAAGTTCGAAATGGGGATCTTGTGACTGGAGTCACCTCAAGGAACGAAGACAAGGCTGGATTCGAAATTGGACCGTGCCCAGCGTCGGGGACGGGGGTGGGGACCCAGGACAAGGTCCCCTGCAGCCTCAGCAGTCCCTACCTGCGGTCCCGCCGCGTCTTGTTACCTGCTTCAGCTGCAGTCTGATGGTACTGAGAGGGCCCCCCCAAAGTAGGTCTGGGAGTCTGAGGTGCAGCAGCACCCCGAGTCGCGTGACGACATCTCAGCGTCCCGCCAGGACCGACACACCCCTTGCCCGGCGCACCCCATTGTGCGCGTGAAGTGCCCCGGGGTCACTGGTAGTTTGAGTCGCCAGACCCCAGCGTCCCAGTGCCACAGTGCCGGCGTGCAAGTCACCCTTGTTGTACCCACCCACCGCCCCACATGCGAGAGGAACGATGCTGGCGACTCAGACCCACCCCCGAGAAGCCAGGGGGAGCGGCCTTCAAGTGAGAAGGCGGGAGTCCCCGACTCAGCGAGAAAAAACTGCATGTACCCTCCACCCATAAAATTGCAGAGAAAGGAAAACCTCGAAGCCCGGGAAGCCCAGTACGAGAGCAGGTCTGAGAGGAGCCCCGGTCGCACCGCGACAGGAGAAGCGCACCGCGGTGACGGTCCTACCTCACCGTCACCGCCATTTCTCTCCCGTGTGCCTGCCTGACACATCGTACTCCAGCACAGGTCCGTCCGGGCTGGAAAACGCCCAGGACACGCAGGAGTCGGCACCACCCACGGTCCCCGCACCCACGGGGGCTCGGAACGTGCTCCTGTGGATGAGGGGCGTGGCTGTCGGAAGTCAGCAGCTGGCGAACAGGGCGGTCGGGACTGAAACCCAGGCTCACGTGACCGAGCCTGTCGCTGCCTTTCACAGGTCTGTTTTGTTAGTAAGGCCGAGGACTCAGCAACAATGACAGCTTTTAAAGGTGGTACGATTTCCACTTCCAGCAAAAAATGGACCAGGTAATTCAGACCGACCTCACCACAAAAATGTGAAATGCCTGGGGGTTATCGGGAGAACACCATGCAGCCAGGAGTCATTAGCTGAAAACGGAGTGAATGTGGAATCCAGAGAGCAAGGCCTGGCGTGGGGGCAGCTGCTCCCCGGGGTCGCGTGCCAGCTCCGGGAGAGGAAGGTGACTGGGCGAGAGGCGTGCCTTTACTGGCGCTGGGGGCCTGGCAGCAACGGGAAACCCTCGGTGAGAAGAGGGGGCCGGGTGTCCTGGCTGGGCAGCTGGTCTCGCGAGAGCCCCGTGCAATCCCCGGCCAGGACACGTGCAAGCACCAACCAGTGAAAAGGAAACACCAGTATAAGCCTCAAGTTGCTTTAAAACGATTCTTTCCAACACTCCATGGGAATAAGCAAGCACATAGCAAAACCAGAATGAAAGCCAGGGCGGACAGAAACAGACCCAGAAACAACACTCCAGATGGCGAAGGTACTGGGCAGACTCTGATCCACCGCATCTGCACGGAAGACGGTCCCAGGACGAATTCCAGGGTCAGACCGCCAACTACGAGAAGCGGAAGTGAGCAGGACGGGCTCGGCCAGGACGGCGGCGGGTGGACCTGCCGAGGGAGAAGCTGCACCGGCCCTGCGCCCGCACGTGCGAGCACCGCAGAGCGGAGAAGGGTGCAGCGAGGAGACAGCCGGGGTCTCGGGGAGGAAGAGACCCTGGGCTGGACCCGGTGTCCGGGGTCAGCGAGGCTCAGGGCACTCACCAGGTCTGGAGGAGGAGATTTAAGAGCCAGTGAGAATTAGAGACAATACTCCAGTGTTATTGTGTACCTAAAATATTTGTGATAAAAATGTTCAATTGTCTTCTGGCTCCCCCTGTCTACACTGTGAAGTCGATTAGAAATCCTACTCATATTTTGACGGTCGTCTGTCCAGCTTCCCCCCGTTACACGTAAGCTCAACTAGCAGCAGACTGACTTCCATCAGGCCTGCGCCCGGTTTTAGCCTAAAATCGGACCGAGCGACCCGGCGGGCGAGCCCGGCAGCGCAGTGCACCAGAGTGGCGTCTTCCCTGGGGAGGAGGGCACGTCCTCACGCACGCTGCCTAGCGCTGAAACCAGCCGGACCCACGGCGATGCCCGGAAACGGGCCTGCGCACCGAGACGCCCAGCAGTCCGCAACAACGGACCCCGAGAGAACCCTCCACCAGGGCTATCGAACGGAAGACACCCAGATACCGAGGGCTATTCTGCTCAGGGAAATAAGCAAATAATTTCAGTAGAACTATTACAAAAGGACCAAGTGGGACTCCAAAGATTGAAAACACGTTCCTCAGGACAACAAAGTACCCTTAACGACAAAGCTAAGCAAAGTTAACTAATCTCAGTCTTTAACGGGGATGCGGTCACGAAGACAGTCTTCATTTTCTTCTGGAGTTTTATTTTTCAATAACCAAACTCTCCTTGCACCCGGAACAGACTTGTACACGGAGTCGTCTCAGCCTCCCTCTCCCGGGGGGCCCCGCCCGCACCGCACACGTGCACACGCTCCACGCTGCCGCCTGCTGGCTGTTTGGTGTCCGCATCGCACCGCGCGGGGAACCCCCAAAGGCACGACCCAAGTGACCCAGGACGGCACTTGAGCGTTCCAGAGCAGTCGGCCATGGCAGACCTGAAAAACGTACTCCCAACCTCAGACACTTGCACCACGCAGGTGTCGCCCTGGTTAGGTGAAAGTACTTTTAGTCCACACTGACACTTCCAAATATAACTTTGAAAATGCACCTGTTACCATGATTTTCATTCCAGTCGAACAGGAAGCTGGTTAAGATCCAGTTTCTATAAAAGACTTTAGTTCAAGAGCTTAGTTATACATAGTCATGTCCTTTGGCTCCAAAACACTGAAAATAAAAGCCCGTCTTCCTCACCTAAAAAATGAATTCAGAGCTTCTTTAAATGTTTAAACTGTCATTTTTGAAGCATCGTCTTTTTTCCTTAACTCTGAAAGGAAACCCCTGTGAACTGCCCTGAATTGAGTCGATAACCTGACACCCCCCAGAGGACAGACTCGCGCACCTGGCCGGCGGAAGCGCCGATCCCACAGCCAACGGACGCATCCAGAAAGTGCCACCGCCACCCCCGCGGACGAAACGGGGCGCCGCCCCCCAGGCTGTATAACGTGGAAGGTTTTAGGGACCCCGCACACCACCCCCCACCTCCACGCACAGCCTCCAGCAATGGCTCAGGGCTGGTTCTCAGCAGACACTCCGTGCGCCTGGGTACAACAGCGCCCTGGCCGGTCACACACACGCACACTCAACGCCCGCCACGGTATACTTACTTGCAGCCTGACAATGAAACCGAAACCCTCGTGGAATTTCCCCTGCAACACAAAACACGTCTTGTTGAGAGAGGCAGCGCCCTGGCGGCCCCCGGGTCGCCCCTCGGCAACAGCAGCCCCGGGACAACCGCATTGGGACAGGCCGGTCGTTGTCACTGCCACGTGAACATGCCCGCCCTCTGCCTGTTTCACAGCGCGTCCCAACCGGGGGTGCGGTGACCACCAGAGAGCCTCAGCGTGCTGTCTGAGCTACGGCAAAGGCAGGGTGCTGATGCGGGAAAGAGATGCTGAGCGAAGAACCTCTGTGCTAAGGGGGTCCCCGCTCGGGGTCCGGGAGTGGGCCCCGGGGGTCGCGGTCCCCACGGAGCACAGTCTGCAGTAGCAGTCTCTCTCAGAGGGAAAAGCCTCTGGACTCCGTCTTCCCAACCCTCACAGCCACGCAGAACGGGCGGCTCCTTGGCCTGCCCTGCGCCGCGGCCGTCCCGGTGGGAGCGGGGCTGGCTCTCCGTCACCCGGAACCTGGGGAGCACGCTGGGCCGTCCCCCTGGGCCGTGGAGCAGTGGACAGAACCAGCGTAGCTCTTCTGTCCCCAGCCTCTTGTCCCTTACTCCCTCCAAACATAGATGGGTCCCCGAGTACATCGAGGGTCCCGTGCTCCCCTCACTCCTGTCTGTCCCCACGGGACCCGACCGACCCCGGGTCTTTGTCACGAGATGCTGGGGACACCCGAGCCCGACAGCCTGCAGCTACGGAGCGCTCCCCTCACTTTGCAGAGGAGCTAGCAGGTCGGAGGGTTCAGCGTTCTGCTTGGGCTTCCAGAGCAACGCCCGCTAAAAACGCAGGACGGCCGAGGGGGGAACAGGGTGAGGACACCGCTGAGCAGAGCCGAGCAGAGGCAGCTTCTAGAAAACTCCAACGGGGCCACCCGTGGGCAGGCACACAGCGGGCTGCTGGGTCTCGGCGCGCCCCCCACCTAGAGCACATGCTCCCTAGGGGTCAGGAGCCAGACCCAGAGCCCTGCGGTGGCGCCCAGCTCTGCAGTGTTCATGCAAGCACCGAGACGCCTCCAGAACTGGGCTGAGCGTCCGCTCCGAGAACACACACGGCACAGCCAAGGAGGCCACGGCAACGCCCATGCTCTCTGTGCCCAGCCCCGCCCTCGGGCCCTCACCAGGGTGGATGAAGCTGTGGAATTCGGCCATGATGCCCTCCTGCAGGGAGTACTTCACGCAGCCGACCTCGCAGGGCAGGAAGCGCTGTGCGCAGTGTGGGGGCAGCTCGCCGTGGCTGAAAATGTTCAGGAAATAAAAGACACCTCTAAGGAGAACTAAAAAAAAAAAAATCACAACACAACATGAGCTGGTGAGTTGTCTCCCGTCTGTCCCTCCCGCAAAAGCAAACCCTTTAGAACCACTTTCCTCGTGTCCCTGCGTTCTGCAAGGAGCTGGAAAGGAGAGGACCCATCAGCTGCAGGCAGCGAAGAAATCCCGAGTTTCCCAGTTACCCCCACCAAGGGTTACAGCGGTAACTGCTCTTTGCACGAAGCAACAAGATCGCGCAGACTCGAAGCCCACTCCAGGTCAGCCAGCAGAACGTGCGCCCTGAACCTCGGGGGCGCGGCCAGCAGGGCTGAGACCCAGGGCCGACAAGGACAAGGGTCTTGGAGACAGAGTCAAGTAGATCGTGCAGAAAATCTGACAGAAACCACGGACAACGTAGTTCACCCTTTACTTTTCACCAGCACACCCGAGACCATGTGTGAATTATCTTAAGGGGAAAAGTGTGAGAAGGGCCTTGCTTACCAGGACTGGCTACATTTAAGACTATTAAGGGGTTATTAATCTTCAATAAAGTCAGACCGCAATTAATAGAGACAGCCCGAGGGAAGAGCGTGGGCTCCTACCAGCTCTGCTCTTTTCTGCGCTGGAGCCGAAAATGCATCTTTACCTTCGCAACTTAAACGTGCTTAGGTCTCTATGTGTTAAGTGCCTAGTTATAAACACTTAGACCCATAAAGCATGCTTAATAACACACAAAGTGGTAAAAACCAACAGAATATTTTTCTTAAAAAAAAACAAAACAACAAAAACACAACAGCTCTCCAGGGCTACTCCAACAAAAGCGAATGAGCTGACCCGTCACGACTCTGGCGCTAGACTTCAACACTTGTCGTCACTTACCTTGAAGCGCAGGGTCAGCACACACAGAGCACACACTCGCTGCTCAACACACCACAGTGTCCCGAGCCCCCGGTGCACCCGAGCGAACGCGTCAGGGTGACTCTACCTTGATCGCTCTTCAGAGACAAGCGGGACACATCCGGGGGCGAGACGCTCGGCGCTGGTGCGAGGGGGCCCGGCTTCTGGAGCGGGGTGCTCACAGGTTTCTGGAGGGGAAGAGAATGAACCCCGAGCTCTCGCTCTTTGCCCCACACTCTTAGTCTGAGCAAAGCAGCACACAGGCTATTTTGGTAACATCTCCTGGCCAATGAACCCACTGAGTAATCACGTGCACACTTGTGGACAACAGCGATGGGAAAGGCAGGTAATGCAAAATCTATCGATACCTGGAACCACAGGGGAGTGGTAAGTAACAAATGTGCCCATTGCCGAATTCTACTAAGTCAATGGCACGTGCCAGCTCAGTGGCCAAAAGAGCGCCATCTGCGAAGTCTCTTAACAGTCTGCTTTTCACTGGAAGTGAAAACCAGGTCGAGCTGACTTCGCGCGCCAGAGAGGTACAGGGCCAACCCCACCTACTTTTCAAAGGGAAACTTCTCAGAACAAATTGTAAGAAAAAGGAAAAATATCTAGGTTCACAAGTATAAAAATGTACAAATTGAACCGATTAGAGCTTCTACTCTAACAAAGGCTCACAGTAAAACTCTCAAAACAAGCGAACCTCTCTAGAATGTCAATCCACGTGGGCAGTTGGAAGGAAAAATGGAATTTCACTATGTAAGAACGGAGAGAACCCAGGAGGAGGGAAATGCAATTACCCTGCACTTACTCGACACAAATCAAGAAGGCCAATGTTATTTAGTATTTTTATGTCCTACCTACGCAAATATCCCCCCAAATGCACTTTATTCAATGCTCACCCGTAAGGCACGTATTTGCCAACACCGGCAAGTCTCCTTATGTCAGTATTTTAAACAAAGCAGGGGCCTGGTTCCGGGTGTCGTTTAAAAAGACAGACTGGTCGGAACTACTATTAAACACCCGGGAAAAAAGGTTCTCGCATCACAAAGAGTTGAAAGGGATGCTTCAAGGTCCTCCAGCACAGGCCCTGAACGCCACCACGCCCGCTGCCGATCAGCGTTCACTCACGGGGCGCGGGTCCCCCAAGGGCATGTCCCGGCCTTCGCTGCCAAATGATACCAGCGGGCGCCCGCTGGGTTACTAACAGGCAGGCCTCCCGATACCAGGAGGAAACACGAAAACCGGCTTTGCACTAACCAACCCGGGCCGCCCTGACATGCCCCACTCGCTCACCCAGCACCTGCTGAACGTGCCCGGACGCCAGGCAGGTGGCTGCTCCTCCCCGGAGACCTTTACCTGCTCTTCCAGAGGCCCAGACTCCTTTCCCTGGGCGGCCCTCCACGCTCGAGCCATGTCTGCGTATTTCTCCTTTTCATCCTGGCCCAGGAGCTTGGGGACACGGCAGGGGGGACAGGGAGAGAAGGAGCGGTGAGGCCCCGGCGCCCTGGCCCGCAGGGGGACGCCTGGACATCGCGGGCTGGGGTTCAGGCATCCGTTTGCCCTGGACTGGGCATGGGGGGGCTCCCCCACCACCCCGGCAGGGGCCACGGGGTCGCTGTCCCTCCCACCTCGCCCTCCCAGTTCCCAACTGCCCAGCTCGCTGACGCCAGACTTACTGCCCAGTCGGCAGAGCAGTAGGGGACGGCGTCCGCCACCCGAGCCACAGGCAGGCCCCGCCGCCGCAACTCGGGGATCTTCTCCTGCACGAAGAAGTAGTAGGCATTCCTGCTGGCCTTGCGGTTTGGCATGGCGAGCGTGGCCAGGCTTCCACCGACCCAGGACGACACGGCTCCCCGGCGCCCTCGCTGGGCTCCAGCCCTAAGTAACCGAGGCGGCGCCTGCGCGCGCAGCCCCGCAGCTCTCAGCCAATCAGGGCCCGGCGCGCAGCTGCATTGGCCGCACTGGGTGAAAAAACAAGTGTGGCAGGAAAGATCCCTCCGCGTGCGGCGGTGGGGTTGGAGCGTGGGACGCAGTTGTGAAGCGTTCTGATTGGCTGCGATGAGTCGTGGGCAGGAGCGTTGTCACGTGGAGGGCCCGGGGCAACTTGTGGGTATTATTGCGTAACCTGGGCGCAAGCAGGGAGAGGAAAGGGGGCTGGCGAGTGCTTTGGTCTTTACTGGTTTGCGACTGATTGGAAAGGGCCAGGTGTGCCTAGCACTGTGAGTGGTATCCTGGGGGCGGAGTGAAGAATAGTGCAAATGAGATCTTTTCCCTCAAGAAACTTACAAAAAAAAGGAAACTTACAAGAAATACAAAAACAAGTGACTTAACCAATATTGTTGTGTTTTTCCCCTTCTTAAGTAACATCATTGTTGCAAAAGTGCTTTTTTTTTTTTTTAATGTAGTTTTTAGTGTTAGGGAGGAAACAGTAAGAGGCCGAGATTTAAACTAATGTCCTTGGAGCCCTGGCCAGGTGGTTCAGCTGGTTGGAGCCTCACCCCATACCCCAAAAGGTTGCAGGTGTGGAGGATTCCGGCCAGCAGTATCCATCTTGGCTGCGGATGCTCGTCAACACATGCTAAAAACATACACAGAGACAACCAGGTCCTGTGGGGGAACAGGAACAGAAGGGCCACTCCTCACGTGGGGGGCGTGCCCCATCCCCCTCTAGAGAGGCTTTTTATTGGTTTCCTTTGAAATAAGAATTCAGGTAAAAGCACATTACTCATTGCTAGGAAGTAAGGATCAAACAATAGATAACAAGTCTGAGGGTCTATTTTGAGTCAGGGTCAAACAGCTGTAAAACTTTGAGGAACAAACTTACTTCTTCCTTGGACCCTTATCATTCAACTGAGAGCATTCTAAACAAAGCAGGTTTCACAGGATCTTACATATTCTTTCTTAGGCCTGATCACCCCAGGAACCTGCCCTTTTCAGCACAGGGCTACACCACCCTGTCATTGTTTCAGGCTTAGGTGGAGCAAGGGAACTAAGGCAACCAAGAGATAAGGAGATTTTCTCACAGACGATGAGGACTCAGGCTTTGTCAAAGCCGAGGAGCTAGGGTCCATCACCCCCTTTTGCTGTAGCCCCTAAAGTCCTTTCCTGGGGTCCTCTCACGTGATCGTGCCTGTCTTAAGTCGTTCCCCCCTTGGGGAATCTTACCCGTCATTGGCTAACCGGCCAAGCTTTGGGGTTCAGTTATGAATGAAGCAGCAGAAGCAGCACTCCTGCCAGGGAGATAAGCTTTTGTCTCCTTGCTGGCTTATGGTGCAAGGCCACTCCCTCAGCCTTAGCCTTGGCGGGGGTTACAGCTTCTGATACCAGGCAGGGCGGTTCCCAACAGCAGGTTTGATCTTGGTTGCAGGTTCAATCCCTGGTCAGGACGTGTCCTGCAGGCAACTGATGCATATTTCTCATATTGATGTTTCTCTCTCTCAAATCACTAAACATATCCTTGGTGAGGATTGTAAAAAGTCTAGGAACTCTAAAATAATGTCTTTGAATATTGTAGATTTAGTCTTGAAGTTCTGGTTCATTGTTTGCGAGTTTTGTTCCTAGAGCATATCTGGCACTGCTGTGAAAACTTTCTTGTTTCCGCTCTGTTTTCTGATTGGCTACTGCTGGTGTGGAGAGGAGGTACTGATTTTAGTGTGAGTTTCGTACTTAGCCACCCTGCCGAACTCTGTACTTTCCCTTCCTCTGGTTTCAAGCACATTCAGCTTTGCTTCAGTCAGTGGCTGCCCATACTTGTTTTAATACATTTTCACAACAAGCCATACAGTAAATAGGCATTCTTACCCTCTCTTCCTGAACATTAATAGATAAACAGCTTAGAAAATTATTGCTTCTCTCCACTTGGTCTCCCAACCCGTAGCAGGCAGTGAGACAGGCGTCAGCAGAGTGGGCATGATAGGCAGGCGCAGCAGTCACCAGGGTGCAAAACCCTGGGTGCTTAGCAACAGGCAAAACTACAAGCCCTTGCAGGACCATGCCTTTAAGCATTACCCCCCGGAGGTGACATCTAGACCTCAGTGGTGTTTCAGCTCCAGGTCCACAAAGACCCCAAAATCAGATGGAGCAGTGCCATTCTGCCATCAGGACCAGCTACACTGACCTGCCGTGTCCACCAATCAGTAGAGACCACGAGCGGGGGCACACCTGAAAAGCTCAGGATGCTCTATTAGGATTCTCCCCCGAGGCCTCCAGAGAAAGAGCTCAGTACCGGGGCCCAGTGTGGCTCTCTTTGTGGAGCGCACCCGTGTCTCCCCCCATCCCCTTCCCCCAGGTGTGTTTTCCTTGCCTCTCTCTTCCTCCCTAAGCTGCAAGGGCCTGTCTTTGCCTCTATAACTCGTTTCCTAAGCCCGTGTCTTCCAGGTCCATGACTTTCTAAGTCTTGCCTCCGAATTCTGTCTTGTCCAGAACTCGAGGACTGAGACCGCTGCACCAGGGCCCAGTCTGTCCCCACAGAGGTCTGACACCTGGGGGCGATTTCCCACTGCAAACGAACCCAGGCACCCCCCACCTCACTCCCATCTCCCGGCTTGATCACGTCTGGGATTGTAGTTCCCCCTTACTCTTCTTACAACTGTGTTGAGACATAATTGAAATCCAATAAATCGAATATACCTAAAGCATACAAGTTGGTAAGGTTTAACATAAGTGCGTAACCGTGAAACCATCCACCGCCATCAAAGTGACGAATATATCTGCCCCCCAAAGTTTCCTCACCACCCCCTTAGGCGGCTTGAAGTCGCCCACCTTCACTAAGGCTTTGTTCATTTTTCTCCTCTGGTCTCTTTATTCTGTTTCATTTTGCAGCTTCTGTTTCTATTTCATGTGTAATCATCTTTATTCTGCCATATCTAACCTTCTATTAATCCCATTCCGTGTATTTTTATATTAGATCATTTAATTTTCTTCTCTAGAATTTCACTGGAGCCTTTTTTGTATCTCCCAGATTTCTACTTAGCATGGTCTGTGTTTCCTCTGCTTGAACATGATTAGTATGTTATGTAACATAGTTATAATACGGAGTACAGTTACGATTATTTAACGTCTCTGTCCACTCATCCTACCACCTGTGTCATTTCTGGATCTGATTCTACTGATTGATTTTTCTGCTTATTATGGGTTGTGTTGTCCTACTTCTTTACAAGCTCGGTGATATTTTATTGGATGAGCAAAGTAAATTTCACCATGTCGAGTGCTTCATATGTTTGTAGTCTCCTAAATATTCTTGTGCTTTGCTCTGGTGTTGGGAACCGCCCTGCCTGGTATCAGAAGCTGTAACCCCCGCCAAGGCTAAGGCTGAGAGAGTGGCCTTGCACCATAAGCCAGCAAGGAGACAAAGCTTATCTCCCTGGCAGGAGTGCTGCTTCTGCTGCTTCATTCATAACTGAACCCCAATGCTTGGTCAGTTAGCCAATGTCAGGTAAGATTCCCCAAGGGGGAATGACCTAAGACAGGAACAATCACGTGGGAGGACCCCAAGAAAGGACTTTAGGGGCTATAGCAAAAGGGGGTGATGGACCCTAGCTCCTCGGCTTTGACAAAGCCTGAGTCCTCATCGTCTGTGAGAAAATCTCCTTATCTCTTGGTTGCCTTAGTTCCCTTGCTCCACCTAAGCCTGAAACAATGACAGGGTGGTGTAGCCCTGTGCTGAAAAGGGCAGGTTCCTGGGGTGATCAGGCCTAAGAAAGAATATGTAAGATCCTGTGAAACCTGCTTTGTTTAGAATGCTCTCAGTTGAATGATAAGGGTCCAAGGAAGAAGTAAGTTTGTTCCTTAAAGTTTCTTACAGCTCTTTGACCCTGACTCAAAATAGACCCTCAGACTTCCTTGTTATCTATTGTTTGATCCTTACGTCCTAGCAATGAGTAATGAGCTTTTACCTGAATTCTTATTTCAAATGAAACCAATAAAAGGCCTCTCCAGAGGGGGAACGGGGCACACTCCCCACATGAGGAGTGGCCCTGCTGTTCGTATTCCCCCACAGGACCTGGTTGTCTCTGTGTATGTTTTTAGCATGTGTTGACGAGCATCCGCAGCCGAGATGGATTCTGCAGGCCAGTATCCCTCCACACTCTGGAACAGAGTTGCTTGGAAACAGTTTGAGTCTAGTTTCTCCCTCTCTCGCAGCTAGATTTTCTGCTCCGTTCTTCGGAACCAGAGCAGCCTTCAGGGCTAATGCTGTCCTCTCCTGACCCAACGCCCTCTGAGGACTCTGCCCGACAGCCCCTGCATTTGGCTGACGGGGACAAACTGTGTCTAGCCCTGTGTGAATTTCGAGGACTGTGCCTCTAACCCCCTGGGGTCGGTCTTTCCCTGGCGGGGTGAGGCCTCCCCCCGCACAGGTGCAGACCAGCGTTCAGCTGGGGGTTTGAGGGCGCTCCTCCCCTGGTGGCCAGCACGCTCTCTGGGTGCTGCTCCCCTCCTCTGGCACTCCGCCCTGCGAATGCCGGCGCCTGTGGCCTGCCTAGGCAGCCGACGTCACTCCCTCATCCCGGGAAGACCTTGGGGTTCCATCCGCGTCCCCCCTCTTGGTGCCGCCTTCTGGATACTCTTCCCAGGCAGCAGCCTGGGCAGTCACGGGGCTCACCTTTGCTGGTTTCCGTTCCTTCAGGGATGGCTCACCTCTGGTCCCTCAGATCCAGCGCACGGAAAACACCGTTTCGTGTACTTTGAGCAGCTGCTCGGTCGTCTCAGGCTGCTGGGAAATGCACTCAGCACGGAGCTGGTCGTGCGAGGAACTGGAGGAAGCGCATTCCAGACAGACGGACGCCACATGCAGAGGCCCCAGGCAGTG